GACTGGTCTGGCCTTAACTAAAACAAATAGACTTTGTTTGTGTCCCATGAGGTACAGGATGGTGGTATAAGGAGAAAGGACATCTAAATATAGATTATTGTCTGTTCTTGAGCAGAATATCAAGGAATTAAAGAGATCAGATCTTCCTTCCATCTGTCCTGCCAGTCATCTTACAGGTGCCCAGCCTGCAAATAAGCTGACTCTGAGAGAAGATCCAGATCCTAAACAGATCCAGTGAGGTTGCAGGTTCTGGGCTCCAAGTAGACGCTAGCCTCTGCTGTGGCCCCTGAGTGCACAGAGAGGCCCGTGTGTTTCCTCTGTGACTTCTTCAGGGCGCCTGCAGTCTGGCCAGCAAAGAAGATGGCCTCTGCTGGGGCTGAGCTGAAGGCAGGCCAAGAAGCTGCGCTCATCAGCACTGCTGACCAGCACAGGAAGCATGCTTGGGAAGACTGTCCGCCACATGCAAGCCACGTTCTCAGCAGAGCAGCTGCTCTGCTAGTCTTTCTGTAATGTTGCCTCAAAAACTCCACCTGATGAGGGGAGCGAACCAAAACCTGGGATGCACCACCACTGGCCCATCTTGTCGGGTCACAGATGCTCACAGGTGGGTTTTATTTGGCTTATCACAAAGCTGACTTTGTGGCTGATGCGACTCTCCACAGATTCTGCCAAGCACCTGCAGCTGTCTGCCAGCTACCCTGCTGGCCTTAGCTCTGAGTGAGTTTCCCCAGGACCTGTCACTCCACTTTCAGAGGGCAGGGAGTAGCAGAGGCAGAGACAGTGAAGTTCAAGGCTCTTAGCTTAGTCCCATCACCACAGCACCCACCCCCCGCTGCAGCCAGCCCTCTGTCTCCAAAAGTTCTAAGGGTTCAACCAACTCTGAGTCAAAAAGTACTAGCAAAAAACATGGTGTCTAAGCGGAATATATAAACACGTTTGCCACTGTTCCCTAAACAACACAATATAACAATGATTTATATATTTGTATTAAGTGTTCGGTAATTTATAAATGATTTTAAATGTACAGGAACATGTACTATCCTATACGCAAATATTATACCATTTGATAGAAGGCACTTGAGCATACATGAATTTGTATCTTTGGAACATCCCAGAACAACTTCCCTACAGATATAAAAGGACAAATGTGATCTCTTTGAATATGAAAGCCAAAGGTCTACAAATACACATTTAAAAAGTCTTCACTATAAGTCACAATGGTTAAGCAGTATACAGTGAGGCAAAGCACAAATTCTTCTAACACTAACTTAATCTCCAAGAATATTTTCTTTAAATAATCAACAAGTACAGTCCATTTGGTTTAAATATCTTGAGCTTTTCCAGTCAGCAGACCACGCAAGTGTACAGATGATGAAATAACTGGTAGAATTAATAAGGATTATTTGCTTTCCATGTGACCACTTTGTACAAATCGAAGGAATATGCCAACAATAGCACAGCTTGCATCATGCTTGTTACTAACATGGCTGCCAACTCATCCTGCCATGGGAGCTTGGCGGGTTACCTAAAACCCAATATTTTATCACCTCGGGGGGTTAGCATTTGGACATTTCCATGACATTTCATACTAATCAATCAACTTTCCTTTTTTAAAACAGTGCCTTTCTCAGGAGTTACCAATGAGACCCTGATCACTATGCCCAAAGCTACCAAGAACAGCCTTCAGCTTGTTGATAATAACATTTAGAAGCAGACTCTCAAAAATGTTTATTCTTGTCTTCTTTTCCGAGGGGGAAATCTAGCTTAAATGTTAAGATAGATACTCCAATCCCCGAGAGTTTTCTCCTATTACTGTATATTTTAAAACATTAGGAGAGGGCACTTCTCATGGGAAGGGAATTTTAAAGCTGCCAAAGACTGGTGATTGTCTCCAAATCTGTTTCCAATGGATCCCAAGCTGGTTTAAGTCAGTTCTATGCCTAGTCATGACACAGGAGGCTGGGACAAACGCCATTTGAAGATATTTCTAGGGCCTCTGGCAAGTGGTAATTTATCTATGGACAGCCAGGCAGGCAACAGAAGGGCAGATTCACAGAATGAGCCCCCTGGGAGCTCCGGATAGAGCAAGAATCCTAGTTAGCCAGAGGTGCCACATTCTCAGGATGAATCCCTTAATTTGTCGTCTTTGCATGCTCTGGACTCAAATGATCCTTTCACCCATTTTCTCACATGTCACCAAGCTGCACGAAGTGTTACTGACAGTCTTTAAGCCTTTCCCCTACCTGTCTCCTATACCCAAGGCACAAAGAAACCCAACAGATACCTGCTTCCCTATTACTAAGATAGAATACCTGACACTTTCAGCTTAAAGGAGAAGAGCTTTCATTTGGCTACTGGTTTCAGAGGCTCCAGTCCATGGCTGGCTGTTTCAGAGTGGGAAAATCATGGAGGAACTACATGAGGGAGCAAAGGTGCTCACTGCTGTGATTAAAAGCAGAGCACAGGGGAAGGGTGCCAGCAAGAAGCGTCCTCTCAGAGGCACTCCCCACTCACTCTCCAAATGGGTTCCACCTCCTACAGCCAATTCAGCTATGATCACCAGTGGATTAATTATGGATAAGTAGCATGCTCCTACAATACCAGCACCTCTCCTGGGGTCTCTCAGTCCAGGCAAACTGATGAGATGGATTGGCAGAGAGTGCAGCATATTAGCTTTGTGTTTGTCTTCTTCACCTGCATCATTGGCTTTCAGAAAGAGCCAGAGCACAGGCTCTATCAAACCTGGCTTCTCCTTTCTTCCTTTTCTATTCTTTACTTCTTCCTTACTCTCTATTTCTAACTGAGAGACAAAGGTCATAGGACAAGGCAGAACTGAAGAGATTCGTGAAATAGTGTATGATTTTGACTAAGTTGCTAGTGTTTTCTGCCTCAGTTGTATAAGGGAAGGACGTCTGCCATACTTGATGCATAGGGCTAACCTATACCACTGTGAACACCCTAGTGCCCACCCTGGAGCGAGGCACATCCCCATCCATCTTCACAAGGGAACCATATGGCCGACTGACAGGATTGGGCATCACGTGGGACATTCTGGAACATTCACTCTGCCCCCAATGAATCCTCTCAATCCTAGCAGCAAAGCCTCTCACCCTCTAAAAATGTGGACATGTTGCACCCTGCCTACTATTCTTAATTCACTAAAGAGTCAATTTTTGGTTTGGGTTTTGAATGCTCGTCTTCCTGAAGTTTCCCAAGTGCAGAAGGCATTTAATAAGCAGGCTGTGGGCAGCCTCTGTAGTCACTCTCTGCTATACTAAGAGGTGTACAGAAAAGATGCTGGCTCTGCTTCAGCCAGAGATCACTGCTCTCACTCGTCAAAAACCACCACTGGTCCACATTCTTGAGAGGACAAGGTCCTATTCCCCATCTGGACATGGCCTTTGGTGACACTGTTATCTGAAGGCATCTAAAAGAAACAAGACTGATCTGGGAGAAAGTGGTCACTGAGTCCTAGCAGAGATCAGTAAGAAACACTGTCCACTGCCTGACTCTAGATCCATCTTTGCCTGGCGAGAGAACTTTGTACAAGTCACTTCCTTTCTGCAGAACTTAGGGTCTCGCTCTAGCATGGAGGAGTTAGAGCACAAGATTCTTCTCCAAGCTACATCTCAGCTCTGGAACTCTCTGCCCACTGCTTTGGAGGTGATAAAGACGCAGGTAATGTCTTAGAAGCCTGGCTATGTGGTTTCCATATCTGCCTTCTCCTTACTTCTTGTGTGTCCTTGAGACTGTGTTGGAATGGGGACCAAGAATAACTAAGGACAGACACCAAAGCTGAAGTAAAGCACATGTGGGCTGTCTAAGAAGAGAGGGAATGTTGGAAGGGAAGAAGTATGGAGCAGCTCACTCAAGTGGAAGAACTGCCCCAGCACTTTCTAAGGAACGAAGTAGGTTGTGGACAAGATTGTATTTGCCAAAGGGAGATTTCTGAGAATTTCAGCTCTTGGTGTGGAAAGTGGGCATATACTGCAATGGTAAGTGTGAGGCTCCCCTTGGTGCTTGACGTGCAGATTATGGCCTGTGTGTTTCCCAAGCAAGGGCAAGAGACAGAAGTCACCATGTAGTCACACAAAAACATACAGAATGATGAAAGGAAGGAAGCTCCTGGATTCCCAGTGCTGCTTCTGTGATTCACAAACTTTGCACACTTGAACAGAAGTTGTTTCTCTGAGGCTGGAATATCATAGTAATAGCTCTTCTTCTGCTGTTGTCAGGAGGATAGTACCCGAAGAGACAAAATATGCACAGAAACTTTGGGAACATACTGATAACTAATTTCTTGCCAAGGGTTTAATACTCAATTACTTTGATAAATCAATAAAAAGGCAGAACAAACCATCTACTTTGAAACAAAGGCAGGAAACCACTGTTATATGTTGCTGGGGTTCTGCCTTACAGAACTCGATTAACGCTACTCTTTCACTGGACTCTGTTGATGAGCAGGGTAGCAGTGCCTTCCTCTGCTGAAGAGCACCCGCTCTGCTTCCCAAAGAACCAAGCCATCGAGGACTCCACCTACAACCTAACACGTGACATAGTGGCCTTTTCTGCTTTATCTTCAAGACAATTCAACACCTCATATCATCTTAAATGGCCCTGATGGTGCCAAACCCAAAGATTCCTTTCTAATTCATACATTGCAGAAAACATAACAGATACCATATGTTAATAGCCAACCCAACTCTGTCACTCCAAAACCAAAGCTGGTTAGAGGATGCACCTGTCCAGATCTCTCATTTAATGGAGCTGGACACAAATGCCTTAGTCAATGCCACGTCACTACTCAGTGGCAATACTGATTACATAGTCCATCTTTCTCTTCATTATATGACACATTACAGTCTCCATTCATTCTGTTTAAAATTCAGTTTTCAGCTTCAAATTGAGCAGCATTTCTCATCCGTCTCTGTGAGTTTCATGAAATGAATCCCAGCTCACGCCGGAAGTGAGCTCACATAGGAAATCTGACCAATTCTCACCTGTAAATTTGCACAAGGTGGCAAAACATGTGTGGGGATCTCATTCTCAGACCCTGCTGGTTCCAGGGGCTTGTTCTTGACCCTGAAGGCTGTGGTGGTGGTGGCGGTAGTGGTCTGCACCGGGACGGCTGGCTGCCACACAGTCACATCGGAGCCATTGCCAAAGGCTTGAATTGCATTTTCTGCAGTAAAACAGGAGGGGATCCAATTTCAAAGTCAAGCAACAAATGTAACAAGATGCACACAGTCTGAGAGGCACACTAGAAATTTTGAAGCTAGGACTGGACTTCTCTGAACAAAACCCATCCACCCATCCAGTCCACATGCACTGAGAATCAGTCTTCTGAGTCAGGCGCTCAACAATCAATTCAGTCATTAAACACTGAGCTGGACACTTACCTAGATTCCAAGAGCAACAAATATTTACTGTGCTCCCACTTACGCGTCAGGTGCTGAGCAAGGTGCTTGCCCTGAAATGCTCATCAGTCAAGCATTTGGAACCCAGCCTCAGCCCTGTTACTTGGGCTTGTAACTACACCACTGGCCCAGGAAAATCTGTATGCTTTGTCAAAATTCTAGACTAAAAGCAAATTAATCAGTGCCTTTCCCCTTACTACATCCCTAGTAACAAGACGGCGGCAACTCAGCGGCATTTCCACTAATTTGGCAGGCAAAATGTACCCAGTTTCTTTAAAAGAAAAAAGCTACCCCCACACCTCATCAATATCTAGTGAACATTTAAGTAAGATTATTTTTTTCCTTTTCTACTCCCAGTCTTCCAAACAAAATCTGCATAATTAGATAGGAACAGCCCTGTTTAAATGAAAAGTTTAAAATGTAAAACTTTAAAAGCTTATTACAATTTCATAGGATTAGATTGTTTTTATGGCAAGAGTAAATTGGTTGTGTGCTGTTCCCTCCCCAAAATGAATAAAAAACAGTTTTTAATCAGGTCTTCAGGGATTTGGCCTGGATTTAGGAATTTTTTTATTTCATATTCATTGTGTAAGAAATCAAACTCTTTCATTTGGGACCTGAATGTGCAAATTGTTAATATACAACTCTTAGTTGGCATTTTTTTATATAAAAGGCAGAATAATTTAGACCTGATACTCCCCTTAGAAGTGACATATTGTTCTAAAATTGTTATCCTTTAAGTTCAGCAAATTGGACGCTTGTTTTCTACAACTTTCCATTCTGGAGGGCTGTAAGGACCAACTGCAAATTAATATAAATGCTTTTCTCATGCTTCTAGCTACGCTCCATGGCTTATCTGGTGAGCAGAGAATCAAGAAAGGGGCACACAGGGACCAGTTTTCTTAAATAAGCCAGGGCAGCAATAACAGAATATCTCCTTTTTTCTCGTTAAGTCCCATAGATTCAAGAGACTCTTGCTATTTATTGAAGCCACACATGCCCTGCCTGGTGTGTCTGCCCTGCCCTGGTGTGAATTCAGCTGATCACTCCGCTTGTTCATTCAGTCATTCATTCAAACCACAGACTGCTCCATGTGCTCAGCATACTGAATTGAACAGAGACAGCAATAAAAGAGGCCAATAAGTAACTCTATGACACAAAGATGGTGCGAAATGCCCAATGGAAAATAAAGCAAGAGGGAGCAGGGAAAAATGATCGATGATGTAGAGTGTGCCTAAGGAGGGTCACATGGAGAGAAAACATTCTCTCAGGCTTTCACAGAGAGCACATTGGCCAAGCAATGGCTGTGACTCATCCACATGGCTGACACTGACAAAAGATCTACAATCTGAGGTACAGCATCTCAGGATAAATCCTGAGGGGATTTCACTGACCTTATCAGACCCAAAAGCTACAACTCTTGTTGCATAGGTCCTGCTTTATCTTGGTCTTAATCATCCAGCAGAAAAGTACAAAAACAAAGTATAAGAAGTAAAGCCATGCTGTTATGTTGATCTGCAGGGGACTCAGGTCAACAATTTCTGACATTGCCAGTCAAGCGGAAGACCCAATACTATTATGGGCTACTGGACTCTTTTAGAATATTTTGCTGAGTTTACACACCTATAATATTCAAATAACGGAACTAAACAAAAAAGGGGATACAGATGAATGTCCATTTTGTATCTGTGTGCTCAACGTGGTTAGGATAGATATATAGTTACATTCTCTTAATGAATAGAGGGATTTGTTCTAATGGTTTTGTAAATAGGATATCATGTCTGCATCTTGTACAGCAATTAACCACTAGGAAGAATGTATGCAATGTGTTAATTATTGAAACTGTCCTACCAATTTGGTTTGAAACTGTCTCTTTGCTATTTTTTTCTCAATAAAATTATGGGGAAAAAAGAGGGAGCAGGGAGAGGAGCTGGGTAGGAAGAGGAAACTGGCATTTAGAGGCCATAGAAGGAGGTATCTGCATAGACTTGAGTGATGCACCTGATATTTCACTTCTCCTCCAGCCTTTTCTTTGCTCTTGCTCTTACATCTGCCTTGCATTCGACTTAAAAATAACTGTTTCCCACATATAAACTAGAAGTAAAGAATTGGTTAGAGTTGTGTTGATGGTAGGGGATTCTGGAGAGGTTCGGACCAGTCTGAAGGCAATAGAATTGAGTTTCTAGTTTAATATCTTTGCAAGAGATGGAATTTATAACCTTGTTATTTGGTGCTCTTTGCCCAAAGTAGAGTCCAAGTACAAACGGGATGACTTAAAAATTCTGGCTGGGCTCAACTCTTGTTGCAAGTCAAATGCACTTATTTTTCTTGAAAAGTCATTAGCTATAAGATTTCAGACAATTCTTTACCAAAATGTTATTAAGCGGGAATACCTCCAATGTCTCTGTGAGGGCAAAGCCTTCTGGCCAGTAAGAGCAAAATTCTTCTGCATGCTGATTCTACTGTCATTGGTCTGTTAAAATTCTCATTCTGCCAAACGAGTGCTAGACATGAAAAAAGGTTTATAGATGTGTGTGTCCTTAGCAACACCAAACAAAACTGGAATTCCTTGGCACAGCCAATGTCTGAGACTTGCCCCATACTTGAAACTAATTGTGTGGATTTGAATTTGACTTGGGGAACAAAAAGCTTGTTTTATTTCTAAGGGGACCAGAAAAACTGATTGCAGAAAGATTATTCAAATTATCTATTAAACAAATGGCTGAAGTTTCTTTTTTTGTACAAATTAAACAGCACGGGGGCTTTAGAGTATCACTCAGAAGCTCTTCTGTGTGTACAGCGGAAGCATTGTGGAGAAACTGTTACTGGAGGACAAAGCTCTGAGGAAAGTGACTGAGCCATTTCTAAAGATTTAGCCTACTCCTTCCACGAGAAAGTTGGCTCTCATCTCTAATACTGAGAATGATGCTGCTGTCCAATGGATCAGAGCCATGCACGAACAGGACCTTCAAGGGACAGGGGGCAGCACAGGGAACCAGGAGTTTAATCGGAACCCTGCTTCCTGTGAACCTTGTGAATGCTGAATTTTTGCTCAGCTGTAAGACAGCTATAACAACACCTACATCTCCTAAGATTCATGTGCAAAGCCCAGAAACATGAGATAATGTGTCTCATATGCGCTTTTATGTGAGTCTGAGGACACACAAGGTATTCAGTAAACAGTAGCTGCTGTAACAGCGAGTGAAATTTTCAAGTATCAGTCAGATTGTCACCTGGAGCACGCTCCTCAGGGCGCACGCAGGACACAGCACCACGCTCCTGGAGCTGTTCGGTAGATGCCTGTTGTTCACATTTGCACATTTCTTTCTATCTGTAGCCCTTCGGGAAACACGTTTCTAAATTGCCTCAAGGACACCGCAGTAATAACCAGCTCCGTTTCCAAGCAGGATCCCACCCCCCCCACCCCCACCCCTGCGCGGCTGCTTATCTCCTTTCCTGTGCTAACTGACATCGCGGTCTCCTGGCTGCATCTCCAGCTTCCTCCTCTCAAGATTTGTTGCTTCTGCGCACAGCCAGCCCTGAAAATCCAAGGGGCTATTGATGTTAACATTCTAATTTTTCCTGGAGGCTCCTCGGAGGCCTATCTCCATCTAATTTGTTTGAACCTCTCACATTGTATATTCTGCCCAGGTTTTCAGAACCTTGGGAATGGACTCTCTGCCAGTTGCCAAGATCAAAATTTGATCTACAGATGGAAGTGTTCTTTCCCACATAATGCACTGTTGGTCATTTGAATCTCTTACTCTCTCTTGGGTCTTTGGATTCATAATCTTAGGAGCAACCAGTTCATCACTCATGTGGTGCCTGATACATCACGTAGCATGGCAAAGAGGAGCTAAGTCAGGAAAAGGAAAAGAGGAGAAGAGGGAGGGAGGGGGGAGTAGAGAAGAAAAGAGAGGGAGGGAAGGGGATGGGGAAAAGAGGGGGGAGGAGCAGGAGTGGGAGGGACAGATAATACAGAAAAGCAAGAACGTATAATGCAAGACTGTCAAAGAACACATGTGTTGTATGTTTCTTCCTCTTTTTAAATTTTGTTTAACTCACTGAGACATTTATTGTCCTTGAAGAAATTCAAAAATTTTAAGCACTCTTCCAAGTCATTGCCACTGTTGAAGCAGTCACACCACGGGGCCACACTGAGGCTGCTGGAGTCTATGTAGTTGGGGGTCATGACTGTGCCTAAGAGGGAAAACAAGGCATTTAATTCCTGTGATGATAAGGACTTTTCCACAGAAAAGAAACAAATGTTCCTCTGACAACGGATGTGCCGAAGATAATTACAAACACTGTGTTTGCTGAGTGGGAAATTATGTTAAGCAGCACATTTTCTTGGCAATTTATCTTGGGCACGTAAAGTAATTTACACGTTTACTTTAAAAATTATAACAGAACTCCCTGAGTTGCATTTATAGCACTTCCCCACACACACACACACAAATGGTACAGAGGCCATGGAGTAAGAGAGAATTAACTTAGAATGCATACGTTACCAAGTCCCTTGCATTTTCTAGAAAATGTCATTAATCTTCATAAAGAGATAGCATCAGGTCTATATATTTTAAAATTCCTTTTAGGAGTTTGAATCCTCTTTCCTCCAAAGCAAATGGATTCTTCAGAGTAACACAGGGAAGCTTAGCAGCCTCTGATGGATCCCCACATCTTGAATGTATCTACACTTGTAATGAGGCTTGGGCTCACCAGATTCTCAATTGACTTAAACAACCTTTTAAACTGTGAAAGAATTGGAAACAAACACTGGAATTTCTCTGAGCCACAGGCTCTTAGGGTATTGTCTGTGGATCCTCCGTAGTCCTTAAAGAAATGCTGGGTGGTCCCTCCTGCTACATTTTGTGGTATTTAGACTTTCCTGTAAGTCCTCAAATGGCACAAATATACAATGTATTTCCACTTAATACAGCCCTGGAGTGACTCAGCCCAGGCGATGCCCACCAAGAAGCCTTCTGTTTTTAGGTATTTCAGTAGAAATAAGAAGTACTAGATGGGCAGTAATCTGCAAGATATAGTTGGTTCATGAACACCAATTTTTGTAAGTTCCTCTGGGTCAAAGGGGTACACTGTCTTTGCCCTACATTCCTTTCTATTTGAAATGAATAACATCTATTCCAACTTGGCAGAAGAATTTTCAGCTACAGGGCCAGCGAGATAGCTCAGCAGACTAAGCACCTGCCTAGGCAAGCGCAGGGACGGGGATTCCATCCCTGGCACCACACGCTGTACCAGCCCAGCCCCCAGCTGCACTGAGCTGGCCACCAAGACCAGGAGTGGTGGTGCATGTCTGTAATCCCAGAGCTGGGGAGGCTGAAAACAGGAGGATCACTATGAGTCTGAGCTGCATAGTGAGACCCTGTACCAAATATGAAGAATAGGAAGAGGAGGAGGAAGAAGAAGAGGAGGAGGAAGAGGAAGAAGAAGAAAGAAGAAGAGGAGGAGGAGGAAGAAAAAGGAGGAGGAGGAGGAGGAGGAGGAAGAATAAGAAGGAGGAGGAGGAGGAGGAGGAAGAAAAAGGAGGAGGAGGAGGAGGAGGAAGAAGAATCAACATCATCATCTTAAGCTACAATACCAAGGAAACTCTAAGTTAGCTGACAAAATAATGGGCCTCCCCAAAACTGAGAGGGGTAAGGGCCACTGTATTTCAGGCATCAGAGGGGGACCCTGACATGGAAGGAGCAGGAATAGGCTTTGTGCAAAAATAAGTTAGCTCTCATGACACGGGAGCTAGCATGGAGGGAAAGATCCAGGCCCAAACGTGAAATAAATGCTGGCCTGCAGAACACACTGCTTCTGCTCGTTTTTCTCTTCTTTCCACCCTCTTCAGGCATGCAAGGTTTTGCCAAGCCTAGACTGCTAGCAGACTTGGCAGCACTCACCTTGGCTGCGCACGGAGGAGTTGATGAGCATGCGCTCCTGGGAGGCCGCACGCTGGAGGACTACCAGTGACCAGCTGCGGCAGTGGGGTTGCGGGCACTTACATTTTCCTGTCAGCTTCTATGGTGTTTTCCTTTAATTTATTATTATTATTATTATTATTATTATTATTATTATTTTATACAGGGTCTCTCTATGCAGCTTGGACTGTAGTGATTCTCCTATCTCAGCCTGCCCAACACTGGGACCACAGGCATGCACCACCATGCCCAGTTTTGGGGCTAGCACGGCATGCCTGGGGCTGCAAGGCCAGCACAGCATGCAGTATCAGGGATTGAACATGAGTCTTTGTGTTTGGTAGGCAGGCACTTATGCCATCAACCTATCTCCCCAGCCCTTCTTTTAATTTTTTAAAACATGTGTGCCTGCATGGTTTCTGTTATTTTTAAAATTCCTTATTTGGTAACTAACTTTGTTAAAGAAAGCATGACCTCAGATCTGGAATACTGACTTAATACTGTACTCATTAATAAAAGTGGGAGGAGATAAGACCCAAAGGAGCACAAGTACCCATGCGAAACAGAACCGACAATGCCCCCACATTAAATACCATCACTGTTTTCCTAAGGGCTCCTGCCAAAGACATTCTGGTGACAAGAGGTTTCATCTATGCTGCCATGCTGGGTGGGAGATTCTTCCTGCTGGTGACGCATGTGACCCTGACACAGAGCTGGCAGGGAAGCGCACCAGCATGCGCCATCATGCTCTGCGATCGCCCTCGTTTTCCTCAGCCCTCACGGCGTGCTCCTTCTCACAGGCCACCTGCAGCCAAGCCCAGGCTTCTGCTTGCCCTGGTGCCCAGGACACCCACCCTTCCTCCTGCCAGTCCTTCTTCTCCCGAGGCACAAGCGGGCCTCTTGCTGGCTCTCTTCCCACACACGGGTGCCTCGCTTAACTGCATGGTTCTCTTGAATGCTGAGGTCATGGTTCCCCTAGACGCTACAAATTTCCAAAGACAGGAAGTACTGCCTTTCCTATAACACGGTATTTCTGGGGGAGGAGGGGAATAGCCTATGGATCCCCCTGCACATAGGGAGTTGACTTACCAGGAAAGCAAATAGCAAGAAGGACCTTGGTATTTAGTGTTTTTATTTCCAAAAGGCCATTTCTGGAAAACATTTCTGATTTCCCCAGATGAAATGACGTCCAAGTTCCTCTCTCTAAAGTTCTCTAATTCAATTAACTTTGTTTGACTTGCTCTGTTCTTCCACAGCCAGGCTTCTTTTCCCTTGCTTCTGTTCTGCACGGTCAGTTTCTCACCTGAGAGACTGCACTCTTCTTCACGCTCTTGGTTTCCCAGCCCCTTAATAATCCCTATTTCTTTCCCTCATCTTTTGTGCATCCTTATTCTGGTTGTTAATATTTTTTAAACAGGAAAATCCTAAGGAGCCTAAGGATTGTCAAAACCCTAGCACAAAAGGCTACTGAGAGATTTCTATGCATGCTGATGCCGTCAGGCTACAAGAAGAGAGCATGAGTATTTGTAAACCAGACTCTTCTCCCATCCTGCCCCTCCTTCCCGACTTACCAATCAGCCCCGAGTAGGCCAGGAGGCAGTCTGCGTAGTTCTCCTTCAGACAGCTGCTGACAGACCTTGACTCTGGCTGGCAGTTGGTAAAAAAATCTGCAAGTCGAGATCTACAATGGAAGGAGAGGGTGAGATGTGCTTAAAACACCCCAAGTTTCTGGGTTGGACTTGGGGTGCTGGAGAAAAGGTGGTTAACGGGTATAATGGTACAACTGGAAGGACTTCAAATGGTCCATCGCCCAGAAAAGTGACTATGACTGACAATTAATTACATTACAAACTAGCTCCTAGAGAGGGATTCTGAATGTTCCCAACACAAGAAAATGATAACATGTTTGGGGTAAGGGATATGCCAACTAACCCGATCCGATCACCATACACTGTGTATCTATCTGTAGTGCAGTATCACCTGAATACCATCAATACGTACAATATATTATGCATCAATTGTAAACAAAAAATAGATTTAAAACAAAAACTCCCAAGTCTCTGCACAGGCATAGCTTCTCTTTATTCATCTGTTGACATGCCTTGCTCTGAGTACACACACAAACAGAACGTGAACTATAAAAAGTTGGCATTCTTTCTTAGACAATCTCCCAACTGTCTCCTCCCCGAGCCCTCCTCCACCTGTGTGTGTCTGTGTATTTGGAGAGAAGTCTTCAGGGCCTATAACTCAGAAAGTCTACAGGCTTTGAAGTTTCTATTCAATATTTATTTCTGACTAGACTTATTTGCATCTTTAGGAAATATGCTTCTCCACACACTCACCAGAGATCCACAGTGGGAAAATATTTACTTTATACAGAAACATGTCCCTGGCATCAAAATAGGATCCTACAGCCCATCTGCTCCCATGATTCCTACAGGTGTTAAGACTGCGTATTGCTGACTGCTAAGTCTTCTCTCATCCCCAACGCAGGGGAGTGACATCCCAGCCCAGCAGCACGGAGGAGCCTGCCTTTGAAGAGCTGATGTGAAAGGACAGAAGGATCGGTAGGGTTTGCTGTGGGCTGTGGGCTTGCAGCTGGTCAAAGCACAGCTCTGTCTGGGCCTGGGGAACTCTCCAGGGTGGGGTGGGGGGACACAGTCCATCCGGAAGCCCTGGTCAGCGCTTGTGGAGACCCCCAAGTGGAGAAAAGCCACAGATACACTGGTCTGGGGAGGAAGAGAGCGCTTTGTGGCTGGTGGCTGTTTTTTCAGTCTGAAGAGGACATTGTTGGAGAAATCGTGAATGAGAACTGGGTGACCTCTGAGGTCATCTCAGCAGACAACAGCTCTGTTTCTATGAGAGAACACAATAGACTTCGGAAGAATTTGAATTATTTGGCAATTACGGGAGACAATGGGAGGTTTTCTCAGTTTTCTTCTATCTTTAGCTCACCCCTAAGCTGTCTGCTGACATACCCAAAGCTTTTTCTGTTTTACTTCTTTCCACCCAAGAAATTGCATTTATTGAATATTCTTTATGATATCAACAAACTTGGCTTAGGAAGGGAGATGTGTGGGGAATCACAAAGGCTTGTGAGAAACACCTTCAATATTCCTTACATTTTTAACTAGAAGAAACATCAAAAAGCTTAATAAACGATCTAAGTTCTCAGTGCGCTGCACAGCAGCAGGGTGTTCGTGGGCTTTCTCCTCGAGCCCTCACATCAGCTGTGCCCACCCATGCCTCCCTACCTGTGCCTATTTGGGGACCTCTGTCGTTCCAGGTGCCTGGCTTCTCTCAGTAAGTGCACGCTGGGAAGGCTGTGGAAGGTCTGCTTTATTTTATTTACACAGCACCTGGCAGTTCTCAGAGAGGCCCTCAGTAACACCTCCCCAGCAGGGCCATGTGCGGAGGCTAAGCGGCCTGGCAAAATCTTCCCTCCCGATGAAGCCTGGGTGTGAGTGTATATATGAGCCTGGATCTTCTCCACAGTCCACGCCTCACTGGTGTTTTTTCATTTCAACTGAACACACTGCAGGATACAAGAGCTGCCTGTTTTCTATAGTCTGGTTAAAGGGTTTATCTTTTTGGAGGAAATCCCTAAAGGTGGCTCAAGCTTACTCAGCTGGCTCTGATGGCATCCAGATTGAATGGGATGTTAATTTCAGAAGAATTCTCCTGCCCATGAAAGTTAATGATCTAGTGGTGCTGGGCTTCTCACTTTGCAAAGGCCAACTGTGCTCCAGGCAGCTGCAGCTCCAGTTCCACAAACAATCTGGACTGAGCAGATCTCTGACCAGGTGGCCCCTCATCCCTTGCCTGGCCCCCAGAGATGCATCTATTATTGCTCAGAGTCTCTAGAACAGACTATTAACTGAGCAACACTGCGATGAGGATTACTGTCCTTCAGAGCAAGGCTAATGCCACCAGACTCATCATGCTTAACAACCTCAGGAAAGACTTACAATTGGACTCTGGAATGAAAGGCTAATTGGGCCTATATGTTGCAAAAAGCATAGTCCTGATTGGGAGGATAAAACAACATATTGTCTAAGTAGAACCCGGACAGATGCATTTTTCAAGGAGACTGTGGGAACAGATACCAGCCCTATTACCAACACAGCCCCTAGATGGAAAGAATTTCAAAATAAGAGTGAACAGACAAGCTTACAATATCCACATTTCCAGGATCTATCACGTTGGACACCCGCTTCTCATACTGACAGTTGGAGGTAGAGTGGCCACACCATAAGGTTTAATTTTAGAGCAGGAAAAAAATCAAGTAAAATGTTTGATTATGGTGTGCTGGAACCAGCTCATTACTAGCTAGTGGGTCAATTTTGAGGAATTTTGACATCACAATGCTAACTTGATAGAACCATGGTAGGGGTATTCACAGTACTGTCATCAGCAAATGTTTCAAAACAAGACTTCACGTTGTTCTTGGAGAATTAATTATTCACTCCCATTGTTGTTACACAGCCACTATGATAGGATGAAGTGCACTGCTCAAGGAAATGTCATGTCATGTCTTGGGATGCGAGGTCCTGCCCTTCAGGAGCAGGCTTTCTCTTCTGTCTGCTTGGTGCCAAGTGAAATTGTGTAGTGTCAGTGGATCCCCGGTCTTCAGCTTTTTCTAAAGAAAGAAAAGCATCTCCCTCTGAGGACTCTTCCTTCATGATTGCAGTCTTTTGTTACAGGACTTGGTGCCAAGGATCACATTCATTGACAAAACAGCTGGATTCTCCTCCATCCCACTATCTGAATATGCCAAGCACCATGATATGATGATGAAAAAGACCCTATCTTTAAACTTAAGTAACCACTGGTCCAGACACCAAAAGAAACAAGTGAAAGAATAATTATAATGGCTAGTTTTTATCTAAGGTAATAAAGTCTGTTAATAAAAAAGACCAAACATAAATGAAAAATTGGTAGATGTTAAGTAGGTTTCATAAGGTCCATATTTTCCTGACAACTCTAATGAGGTATTATTCTATTATCCTAATTTTACAGCTTTATCTGTTTGTAAATCAGATAAATCAAGTTTGTAAAGAACTTGAGGAAAGAAGTAACAGAACCAAGATTTAAATCCACACATTCGGATTCCTCACTTCTGCCATTAACTGTCCAAGGCTAGCTACCAAAAGCCACTTCAGAAAGGTCTTATTTGCAAGACTTAAATGGAAAGGATAGGGAGGAATTGGCCAAGCAAAGATGGAGGAGGGTATTGCAGGTTTAAGAAAGTGGCATATGGTAATGACAATCATAATCATTCCAGGGTAACAAATATGGAGTGTTCACACCTGGCATGGAGTGGAGTGGCTGACATGAACTCTGTATCCAATCCACCCAACAACCTTCTTAGGGGAAGACACCATCAATCCCACTGTACAGTTGAGGAGCCTATGGTATAGACCAAGGGGACCCCCCAGGCTGTGGCCACTGTCCATCTGCCTCCAGAGCCAGAATCCATTCTTAGCCATTACCTCTAACACGTGCCTTGTCAGGAGCACGGATAGGTATTCCTCTTGATGGCCGGGCCTTGGGATACAAATGCTTTTCGGGTGGGAGGTGGTGCTGGGCTGGCCGCCTCAAAGAGCCTTGAATGGCAGGTTTGGATTTTGTTCCAACGACAGTGCAAGACCCTGAAGCACTTGCAACCAAGAAATAACATGATCAAGCTGTAGGAAGATTGTGGACCTCTCAGCTATTCAGCAGAGATTTGTTTAGGACCTACTCTGTAGTGAACAGGAAGTGGCCAAAGTTGGGAGGGTGGTTTCCTAGGATACTGCAGCTAGGAACTAAAGAAAGCACTGGGACCTAGAGTTATGGTTAAGGTGTAAAATGCCCCTCCCCCAAAGGCTCCTGTGTTTGGAAGGTGATTGGCTAGAACACGAGAGTGCTATGCGTATCAGCGGATCAATCCACTGATGAGTTCAGGAGCTCACTGTGTGGTGTAGGATGGTGGAGGCTGGCTGGAGGTGGGTCTCTGGCAGCACGACCAGGAAGAGTGGATTCCTATCTGTGGCTCCCCCTGGTCTCTCCCTCTGCTTCCTGGCTGCCACGAGGTGAGCCGCTTTCCTTCACCAGGCCCTTCTGCCATGCTATTTGTGTCATGAATCAGCTGACCATGGGCAGCATCCCTAAAAATCAAGCACCAAAACAAACCTTGCCACCTTTCAACTGCAGGTGTTGGCTGCTTTTTCTAGAGATGGGAAAGTAACTAATACCAGTAGGCTTCTCCCCAGTGGAAGCCACTGAGCAATAAGGAGCTGGCAAATTGAGGAAGGAATCAGGCTGGACTACTCAGTAGCCAGAGGTGCTGGCAGGGGAAAGGCAGGAACGAACAGGCTGGCAGGGAGGTGACAGATTTGCTGGTGGCTCTGTTGAGTGCACAGTGCTCTGACAAGCTTAAAGTCTATAGGCTCTGGCTCCCCTATCTGCCCAGTCACCAACTACTGCCTGAACCCCTACTGTGTGCACAACTCCAACAGCTCAGGACAGCCCCATGTGCAACACAAACACACACGCACGCATACACACCGGGTCATGAATCATGTTGTAATTGGTTCCATGACTTCCTTGCCTGGGTTGCTGTAATTCAAACAAGGAATCTTAAATGTCCAGTGTGGGGTTAACAAAAAAACTCCACAATTGGATTTCTTCTGGAGACAT